AAACCTAGTTCTCATAGAGGAATAAACAAACATTACAGTGGTCAATGATGATTCATCCATATTCATCTTGGTCCAGCTGAACACACCATCATACAAAGCCAACCACAACCCCACCATGACTACTAATACTGTATTAACCTACAAACCATTCACAGCAGCCCGATACTGTTCTGAAGGGTGAGACTAGATATGAATTCACTGTGAGCCCAAGTCAATCTGATTACTGTCATATTCCATTTTCAGACTGCACTGAGAAATAATCCGCTGGCTAGTCAAATGAACATAACACCCACAGACAGGCATCATGGGCAATACTGGGGCATGCACCGGATGTTACCTCGACTGTCTAACCTATTTTGACTTCCATTTCTATTTTTAGATGTACTACTTCCACTGTTTATCACTCTGCTCTGTGGATACAGATTTTAGGGTTAGGATAAAAGGTTAGCTTCACTGTGTTGTCCCTTTGTTACTGAGTTTAACAAACCGCAGGAATTTCTGGTTCTTCCAGGAATATCAAAGGAATATTCTTACTCAGCACTCCCCTCTGTTCTTGTAACAGGTTGTGCGTGTGAATAGCTTTAATATTTAAAGACAGGAAGTATATCTTGTTTAAAGAAAAGATTTAAAGGAAGTGGTACAGTACAATACAGTAGCAGGTAATATATTCTTTAATAGACTTCAAACTGATCTTGATTAGCCTTAGTGGCATTCTACAGTCACACTGCAACATTGTATTTTGCTATCTCATAGACACCATGGTTCTCATAAGGCATACAAATGATAGAAATATGCAGTATTTTAATAGCCTTTTCTTCCGCTAAAGTTAAGAAATAATCTAGTGTTTGCAAACCATTTAGAAACTGAATGTATATTGCTTTTGCAACAAGTGAGGAACTCCTCATACAATATAAAGAACAATTAAGAATGCAATGCTTACAGAAGTCAACTTGCAGACTGATTACAATCCCTTTACAGCAAACATACCAACAAACTCTGGACCACAAGACAGTCACAGTGGGAATTACTGATTTAGAAAAAATGCCATATTGCTAACTTAGAATGAAGACACGCTGGCATTACTGTACGATACATAGGCCTACAGCATATCTGAACATCTTCAATGAGTCAAAATAAATGTAGACATCAATGCAGACATGACTTAAGAAGTAAGAAACTATACAAAAAAGAATAAACATGTTAGATTACCAATACCTTACACAACATTCCTGGCAGCTGTCAAAACAGATGAGCGTACCCAACAGATACAGTGTGCAGGACTAGCTCCTTGGACGCAAATGGCACTGTCTAACAAAACTGAGGACCAACTTATATAGGCTGACACAAGTAAATGAAATTGCTACTGCCATGCCAAAAAAGGTTTAACTGGATCTCGCGACAGCTGTTTACAGTATTCCTCTAAGAACTAGTGAGCAGGTCAAGCCTATAACACATCCATCACACTGTCATCCCTTTAAGTATGCCATCAAATGGAAACTTGTGCCAAATAATTCATTCATTACCTAAACGATTTTTAGAAATCATGTAGGGACTTAAATTATTATAACTATACAGTGAAAACATTTGAAATGTTTAGCACAGAAAAAGTCTTTAGCTGCTAGATATTTGCCCTTCCCTTGGCTTTAGTCTGATGGTACTCCGAGGTCTTGTAGTAAAAGCCATATGGAAATCTTTGATGGGATGCAAGGACAAACGTTTGCTCTTTTTGAAAGACTTCTAATATTTTTATAGTAATTTGGAGTGCATGCCATTGCTGCATTTAGCAATCAGTTTTGACCAAATCTGACTCATTCACTGCCATTCAGTTGTCATAAAGAGTTAATGCAAGAGGCAGATACTATGTAATGCTATAAAGTTGCAATTTGCATCAATATTAGACTATTAACATTTAGAAATTGGCATTTAATATTCATTTGGGAGCATGTAAGAGCTGAGATTAGACATAAGTGGGCATCTTACTTTCTGCTCATAAACAAAAGGCTATTGAGCTGTCTTTCATTTCCAAAATAAATCTTTCAACCAAGAGCCAACATTTTCTATATCGGTACCTACCATCTGTCATCCACTACCCAGTCAGACTACTCTACAAGCCATATTTTGCCTTGGGTTAGGGTTAGGATTAAAGAATGAAATAAGCTTTGATTGCTTTTGGGGGATCATATTAAGAGTTTTCATAAGCCATCTAGAACTGTGTTGAGAATATCAACCAGGCAAGACATAAGTAGCTCTTTAGTGAAGCAGCAGTGAAGCAGCAGCAGTGATGAGATTTTGGTCAGAACTGAGCAGCAGGACGAAAAAAAAAAAAAAAAAAAGGACAGGCACTTTTGGATTAATCTATCTTTGAGTTGCGGTCCTTTTTTTTTACAGCAGGCAAAATCTTACAATTCTGGGATATTTTCCTTTTTGCTAATCTATGTTATGCAATTGAGTCAGCAAAAGTCAGTTGGTGCCCCAATGTCAATGAGCAACTAGGTTTAAATCTGAGTTATGGTTGCGTGGGTTCAGTTGGTTCAAAGTGCCATCACATCAGCTGGAGTCAAGCAGCACTCTCTGGCTTTTTTCAGACCAAAAGCGTGTACGTTCGCACTGCAAGCCTTAGTGAACAATTTTTATTTATTGCTGAGAGCTGATTTTTTTTTTGGCTGTTCCCATTATTTTTTAAATGCAGCCCATATCAAATTCCAGTATGAGGACAGTCTGAAGTCTAACACCTCACTGTCCCTCCACTGACCACCTCTATCGCAGCTCTCTTTCATGTTTGTATTCACTGGATTCAGAATTTTGATGAATGTCAATTCAGATATGATTGTTCACACTCAAGTCGCATTGGAAAAAACATCAGACCCGCATCTAATTTGAACCATACATAAAATTGGTCTATATCAGAATTAAAAAGATCAGATTCCATGTGATTTGTACTGTTCACTCTGTCAAGAAATAATCCGATCTGAGTCACAATCGAGAAAAAAAAATCAGATTTGGGCCTGCAAGTGTGAACATAGCTAAAATGGTTCACATCTACTCCATAGTTTGCATGTGACTTGAATTATCAATGTACACAGTGTTTTTAAAGATCACTATAGTTATCAAACTATAAATGTAATGAAAATCCACTGTATTTGTTTTCATAACCAAACACTGCTTATCAGTGTGATCCAACAGACGCACTGGGATGTTCTCACTGAGACTGTGTTTATGCAATCGAGTCGGCACAAGTTAGTCAGACTGGTGCCAGCACTTCCCCAATGTCCATGAGCAACTTCAGTTTAATCAATCTGGGATCTGGTTGTGATGTAAGTTGGTTTAAAGTGCCATCACATCAGCTGAAGTCCAGCAGCACTCTCCTGCCTGTTTTTAGATTATGTTTTGTCTGCTTCTTAGTTCAGGCCAAAAGGGACTTCTAATCCATCTGCCTCAGGTCAAAATACCAACCCAGTGTACGAGCAGAGCTCGACTAATGCTTCTTGCTCCACGGGTTGCATGTGGCTTGAGTAATCAGTTTACATAGTACTTTTGAAGTGTATTATAGTTCTAAAACAATAAATATAATGAAAATTCCCTGTATTAGTTGGGATGTTCTGGTTGATGCTGTTTGTGTTTATAGAGACTCCCTAATCTGAATTTAATGTTCTTTTAGTCCTTTACAGTGAGTTTGACATTTTGACCTTCCTTAGACGTAATTTCTAAAGCATTAACTTGTGCAGTACACCCAAAATCCAACTTAATGCTCCTTGTAACTGATTACATGAATGGGACTGTCAACTGATGGTAGATGAGCAGTAATACGTGCAGGGGGATATATCTATGAAATTATATTGCAATGTACACTAATGCAACAAGATTTGGAGGCAGCTAGACACAGAAATTAAAACAATACTGTGACATCTACTAAACTGGCTCTGAGCATCACAGAGGTCCATTCCAAGATGGATGTCATATTCCAAAATCTAAATGTGACAAATTGTAAAGAAATATTAACATGACAGCTCCAACTAAAAGGAAGAGAGTGAATTAACAAACTTCATTCTGGTCATTCTTATTTTATCTGTTTGCTTGATTTTGGTTCATCAATGTGTGCTACTGAACAGCTCTTATTTTGCAATTCAATCCATAAACTATTAACTGGTGGGCAGTCACTAACCTACATCTGTGCTGACCCTAAAACAGTCCTGTGACTAATGCCTTCCCAGCAGGGGTGATGTGTGTTAAATCAGGCCAGTGTAACACCCCTGAGGCAGTTGCAGGCTACAAACCCTGTGCCTCAGTCTGAAGGCCCCTTCTAGCCCAGCGTGGACTACAGCATCCTCTCCCAACATCACTGCAGCATCCTTTCAAAACATGACCAGCAACGTGTGGTGACCTGTCAAGCAGAAAAATGCACACACACTGCAAACCATACACGCGTTATTATGTATAGAAACCAATGCGCATCTGGCTGGCTGTACCTGAGACAGGCATCAACAGCTGGAAGCTTTCACTGCACAACATGTACGGCTACTAAACGCCTACCAGCCGTAGATGCACGCTCACAGATGATGCTCGGTGCAGCGTGAGCACCCTTCGTGTGTTACTGTAAGATGGCCCTGCACGGCGATGAGGATCCCCCAAAGCAGACACCAGCTCCATCCTCGTCATCTTTGAAGAGCTTTGCTTGAGTAGGCCAAGCTCTGCCACTTCCGACATGGAGGCAGTGCTAAGCCAATGCTACACGCTCCAAAAAAAATAAAAAATAAAAAGACAAGATGTCCCTTTTTATGTTATCGCACACGAAGGGGGGGGCATGTTTTGTTGCGCTGTTATATTTTTGCTCCAAAGCGAGCGTGGAATAAAAACCAACCCAATGCGTAATCTCGCACCGCTTGCTGAGATGATCAACCTGACTCAGACCAACAGGCCCGCTAGTCCCAGTAACTCCCAGTTCAGACGGTATTAAACCTAACAGCGGCAGCATTTTTGCCAAACACCTCTCTTTGCCTTACCTCGTAATCGTTTCTCATCGTGCGTGGAGTCCTAATCTGCGTGAAACCGTGTCCATGACATGCTGTTATTTTTTATTTTTTTTGGGGGAGAAAAAAAAATCGCCCCCTCCGCTAAGATCTCAGCATCAGCAGCAAGCCTGTACAATGAAGCAGCGATGGCCGGTGATGATGCTGGGAGCCCCGCCCTCCTCCCCATGCAGCCAGAATGAGCTCACTGGTTTCCAGCTCAGCCGGCTCCACCGCCGCCGCCGCAGTAGCGCCAGCACATAGTCACACAGGCACACACAGATCACAGAAGACCCAGTGTCCAATCCACCGGCCGCAGCGTTACTGTTAACAGTCCATAGGCAGCATTATGTGTTGGGTTGTTTAGGGGTTCATGCGAACTATGGTGCAAACCGTTTGCGTTTACTTTTTGAATTATTATACTTGCACAAAAACCTTGCACAGCATGCTTGGCCAATAAGGCCATGCCAGTAAAGCAGATTTAGAAACGTTTTTACACCGGTAGTGGATTGTCATTGTAGCATTATAAAAATGTTCCTTGGAGAACTGTGGCTTATACTGAAACTACAAACTGATTTCTGATGTTGTTCATTTACTGAAACATAAGCTTGTTGGTGGGATTGTGCTTCTCATGGCTGTCACTAATACATTATCACAGTATCTATTTGAGTGTTGCATGCTTAAAGAAATCCAATTATTGTGGCAGATACAGAGCAACAAACTTTAAGTGATGTCTGTCTAAGCAAGTCTTTATAACCTCCATAGTCTCCAAGGGTTACTGATTAACGTTTAGAATAAACCGCAACACGTCCGTGGAATTGCAATGTTCTCCTTTTTCATTGCAATTTGATTAGGCTGAAAGGTTTAACTGAACTGACTTGGACACATGTTTCTAAAAGCTAATCTGACTAACTCAAACTGTTACTGTATGCTTCCTATACTGTCCAATGTCACGTGTTGCAGTTAGCCGTATGGGTGATGCAGTGCAGATTGAGTGAGAGGTAGTGCCATCTAATGGTCGGTCCCAGAATTGTGAGTGATTCCCAGACCCGTTCAGTAGCTTAACCTATTGACATTATATAGTGTATCGCTATGTATAGCTGATTAAAATCATATTTTTATTCTACTCAACTGCAGTTCAGAAGTTTTTAAAAGTTCATGTGAGGACCTATTCAGTTTGACAGTACATAAGTAGACTGCATAGCTTTGCAACATACTGTAAATGATTTGGATTCAGTATAGGATGAGACCATCCTCACTAGCAAAAAAAAAAGAAAAGACAAAAAGTTGCTTATCTTGGAAAGACCCGTTTGTCCTGTCTCCTTTTTAATGTTAAAAGTTTCCGGTTCACAAGTCACTGAAGACTTTAATCTGTTACAGATGTCGCAGCAAGATCCCATTTTGTGTGGCTGACTGTTCTCCCAGTCAGTGATGCAGCTGTCTTGCTGCTGCCACTCATATCACCCCCAGTGTGTCGCTACGTGTGCATGGACAAATACATTACAAAACAATTGTTCATCTGTCATTGTGAAGTTCCTTACTCCGTCAGACATTACTGTTCGGTGTAGGATGAATAAAGGCGGAACAGTCTACTTGCACCGCCCCCCGTGCACTGTCTTCAAGCTTGTTTTACCCAGCCCCGACATCACTTCATCTATGCATCAGTAATTTAAATAGTTAATGTCTCAGCCAACACCATCTTCAGTAAAGGGACTATCCGAGCTGCCATCCCATCTACACTTGCAACAAACCCCAAACACGTATTCGACTTCACTTCTGCGTGTGTGGGGTTTTGGCCAGTACGCACAAAATCTTCAAGAAGGAAGTTTTAGGAAAGATGGGCATGAAAGGAAAGAATGGATCCTGCATAGGCTCTGCGCCAAAGGGATACTCACAGACGCCTAAAGAGTTGGAGGCACGGGGGTACTGGGGGAACAAAGCCGAGTTCATCCTGACTGTGATGGGAGCGATCATCGGACCTGGGAATATCTGGCGGTTCCCCTACCTGTGCTACAGAAACGGGGGAGGTGAGTGATTGCGCACAGCAACTGTTGCTCTCAGTTTGTCAATCTGGGATGATTATTGGGGATTTATTTAATTTACTAAGAGGTAAAGATTCTCTCTCTTTTTTTTTGCAGGTGTGTTCTTCATCCCATATATTTTGTTCATGTTTACATGCGGAGTCCCCTTATTTTTCCTTGAGACTGCTTTAGGCCAATACACTAACCAAGGAGGAATCACGTGCTGGAGAAAGATCTGTCCGCTTTTCCAAGGTAAATAAAAGGGCTTATTCCCCCCTATATATTTGTTTGAAGGTTTGCATGATAATGTATTTAATGCGTCGTTATATTTTGCCAACTACCTGGTCATATTTTTTTTTTACCACACACGGGATTTCAACGGCGCGCGTAATTACGCACATAATCTATCCTTCTAATCACATCACCGTTTGTTACCAGATTGGTTTGGAGCTGATAATTCCTTATTGTAAAGTGTTACCAATTCGTTTTGTGTTTTTAATTACACAATAATTATGTAATGAATAATGAATATTATCTGTATGTATCTGTCCTCACTTATTTTGTTTTTTTGTTTCAGGCATGGGTTATGCCAGTCACTTAATCATCGCTTTAAGTGCTACCTCCTATATTACCATACTTGCTTGGGCGTTCTTTTACCTGTTCTCATCCTTCAGTGCTGAGTTGCCCTGGGCCACATGTGGAAACTACTGGAACACAGGTAGCCAGTGCTGTTTTTGGAAAGGGCTTTGGAAACATGTTGCCTAGGTGTAAAATATGATTTATAATACTAAAGGCTGGCATGAAGAGTTTTGCTGAGATGTAGTAAGCATTTTTATATTCCCATTGTTTTATTTTCTTATAATAGACTTATGCTTGGACCTCAACCATCCAAATCAGAGCCAATCCAGACTGAACGCCACTCTTCCCGTTGTGGAGTTCTGGCAGTAAGAATATAGTCAACTCACACAAGCTTAATTAAATGCTATTTTTTTCTTTCAATCCCTTCCCTTCTCTTTTCTTTCTCCTTCTCCTCTCTTCTCAACCCTCTCTTATACTCCATATCCTCTCTTCCTCCCCTCCACTCACTTCCCCTTTGATTTACTCCTCTCCCTTCCTCTCCTCTCATTCACCTAGCCTCTCATCCACCCTCTCTCTCTATAATTCAGTTTCCCTCCCTGTCACCTGTCATTCATTTTTGCTCTCCCTCTCACACCCATCATTGCTCTCTCCTCTGTGCAGACGTCGGGTTTTAAAAATCTCTGGTGGTATTGAGGAGGTGGGCAGCTTGAGATGGGAACTGGTCTTGTGTCTCATCCTGACCTGGGTCATCTGTTACTTCTGCATTTGGAAGGGCATCAAATCAACAGGAAAGGTTAGTTGCTCGCTTATGAACAACATTCATAAATAAGTTTCACATATTTTTGTACAAAATCTCCACAGAATCTTGGTTCTAAAGAGGTTTAGAATAAGTCAGAGTTTTGTTTTCCGCAGCATACTTTCATGCATTTCAAGTTATCACTTGATTAAACCTGACATCAACACATATAGTTTACTCTCTCCCAGACAGTAATTTATTTTACAATTTTTTTTTCTTGTTTTTTCTCTTTACCTACATTTAAGGTCACATTAATCAACACACACCCTTTCCCTATCCCTATCACTCAATGGTTTTGTTGTTGATGTAGCACACAACAACTCAAATGCTTATTAAATGCAAGGACCTAGGGGCGCTGATCCTGGTAAGACAGGTCAAGGGACATATCTCAAGAATAGTTTATCGTATCAGAGGGGTTGCTGATTGGTGGCTATGGGTAAGACTAGTGAAACCAGTTATACAGCAATGGCGTTTGGACAACCAAGAAGGCCATGGCATTCAGATGATACTACCTATCAAGCCAGTGGGGCATAGGAGTTAAAGGTAAGTTAGGTCAGGGCGATTGGTGTCACCAGTCTCGGAGCCCGGTAGATTTTTGATGGCACAGCCTGATACCCAGTGCAGGGCTACTGATAACTACATGCCTTAATATACATTTTCAGACATTATTTGTGAAAACATGTGACATGCAAAGGGACATATCTGAATGAGCAGATACATTTAAATATCTAGAAAAATGTGTGATCGAATGTTGAACAAGCAAAGACAAAAGTGCATAGCGCCCTCTGCTGTTTAAAAAGTCACCTGTCATCTCCCCGATTTTAAAGTTTATAGATATGTCTGAAGTCTATATAAGAAAAAGTTAGTTTTTTAGTAGTTATTCATGTTTTGTTGTTCATCATATGATAAGACAAATTGTCGAACCGAAGATATTTAGACAATATTACAGTGGCATCATGGATATTTAAATCACAACTGCTTGCTAACCATATTCCTGTACCATAAACCTTTTGCAGTAAATGGCCAGTTCATGAACACATGACCACATTAGTTTTGGCCAGAGGCTGCAGGATCAGAGCCAATATTTAAGTTGTAAAACAGGCACTGAAGGCTGCAGGTGTCCAGAGTGCTGATACAGTGAGTCTCAGCACTGCAGGGATTGTCTCAGGAATTCAGCATTGTTCCCTCTTGAGATGGCCAACAGAAAGTTTAAAAAGTTTTTCTCCCATCTGTTTCATTCCCAGACTGTGAGACATGTCCTCTTGTTTGAGGCTTGGTTAAGTTGTAGGCAGTAGTCACTGTTGTTTTATATTTGATTTATTTATTTATTTTTTGATGATGAAAATGTGTTGTTTCCAAGGGCTTGGATGTTTTCCTGAGTCAAGTGTGTGTCGCAATTTGTTTCATAAGTGAGTCCCAACAAGGTGTGTGAGTGTGTGATTGATTAATCATGTAAGTCATTTGTTAATGAAGATGCAATATTTGGTGTTTCCAGCCTCCCTAATTTGAGGATTTGTTGCTTCTCTCTCTTTCATATTACTCTAAACTAAACATCTTTGGGTTTTAGATTGTTGTTTGGAAAAAAACAAGATATTTGAAGATGTCGTGTTGGGTTCAGGGAAATTATGATGGACATATTTCACCATTGTGTGACATTTTATAGACTAAGTCATTAATCAATAATAGAATTATTGATCCCGCACTGGGGACATTCACTATACCTACACCCCAATATGCTGCTGATCTGTTACACCATAGAATTGTGCCAGCAGCTTCTTACTTTCTCTGTTTCTTCTTACCTATCAGGCAGCCTACTTCACAGCCACCTTCCCCTTCATCATGCTGTTTGTTTTGCTCATACGTGGTGTTACCCTACCAGGGTCGATGGATGGGATCATTTACTACCTCTACCCTGATATCTCTCGCCTTTCAGATCCCCAGGTAAGAACACACATACAGTCTTTGGAGCAGAACCACTACATTGTTTTCGCTACACAGAGACATGCACACATACATACACACACACATTGTTTTACCTTTTCAGGTGTGGATGGATGCTGGCACTCAGATCTTCTTCTCTTACGCCATTGGCCTTGGGTTCCTGACCTCTCTTGGGAGTTACAACACTTACAACAACAACTGTTACAGGTAAGCACAGGGCTGATCTGTCATAACTAAACTACTGGAAACAACATGTTTCTCTTCTTCTTGTCTTTTATGTCTCTGCAGACTTATTTGCTTGTGTGTGGTCCCTTTATATGTTTTTAAGTGAAATGTCATGCTCCAAAGCCAATAATTTCTTCAGAAAGAAATATAACATCTGATAATCAAAGCTAAAAATGAGAATCTGCTTCTGCCTCACTTTGTATCCATCCATACACTCAACTGTTTACACATTTCTAGAACTCTTTTAATTTTTCTTTCAGGGATTGTTTCTACTTGTGTTTACTGAACAGTGCCACCAGCATTGTGGCAGGCTTTGCCATTTTCTCAGTTTTGGGTTTCATGACCTACGAGCAAGGAGTCGATATTTCTGAAGTAGCCGAATCAGGCAAGTACTGACTCAGTTGAGATATTTTTATAGTGAGCATCAAAGTGAACTGTTTTAACACATTTCCCGTAATTCTTGTTGGTGTAGGTTGTAGTATAAATAGTCAGATACTGTACCCTGCATAGATACTACAACTTCACCGAATTGTGCCAGATCATGTGATGGTTCTTTATCCTTATCTTTCCAACATAAGAAGCTTTCTGCCAGACTTTGTACATTCTTCC